ATTAAGCCAATAATATTTTCTAACATAAAACAGACCTACTGCAATTCGGTATACCCAGATCAAACACATAATATTGATCAAAATGCATTAAATGTACATTTTAGATGGTAATAATAATAATAATAACTAGTGGAGTGCATGGCATTGTGCCTTAAGGTAAATTGCTGGAACTTCCCGTACCGTAATTTAAAATCTTGGTAGGGAGCCCAGAAAAATTACACAAAATGTGTACACATTATTAAAATCTCTATAAAAGATCTGATAATTTGATGTACATATTCCCAATAAACATTTTTGACCGCCAAATGACATTTTTTAACTTATTCTCATTGAGAGTCCATAACCGCTGAACCTGCCCTCCTAAAAATTTAATCAGTCTTCGTTTAGTCAATATAAATAAAATGTTTTTTGAATTATTCAAATCGATTGATCGGTGTTCCCAAAATCGTCGACAAAAATTAGTATCCGCACACACACACATACATCTATTTCTTCTAAAACATGCCAAAATGTTCAGAAACCTCTGAAACGTAAAGATATATAAATTTTTTTTTCGATTTTTTTGCGATTACTATAACTTACCCTACGGGAAGTTAATAAATAGTAATCTGCCCGAAGACAGGTTCATGGTAGGAGAGCACAACAAAATCAATGATTTGCCTCCGCTCCCTTATTTATTATTCCCATTTCCGTTTTATTACCACTAATTATCATCCATTAATCACTTTTTATTCCTTTTTATGAATTTTCCTTTCCAAACTTGTCTACTTCAAAATTACCATAAAAAACTTGTTCTATTTTTCAAAAACTAGGTGTGTATCTCTAACCATAGACAACCAGTGAGTTGAATTCTAGTTGGTTTACCTATTTGGGTTTAAAGGTGGATTTTATTACCCGCGCACATAATAGTTCACATGCATCTACTTCGAGTAGGTCGTTACGGTTACGCGGAGAAAAATAATAGGGGAGCTGGGGGAAAATTAATATAATGGATACTTGGAAACATTTGTTTACTAATTTCTTAAACTAAACATTACTTAAACGTTAAATTAATTAATTAAACATTTATAATGTAATTAAATAATTACCCAGATTGATCAGAATAAATTAAAAACAATAATATACTGGTTATTCGTTTCTCCAACAAACGTATAATATCTTGAAAGTCCTTTCCATGTGTCTATTCCTCCTCCCAGCGCATAGTCTATTTCCAAGGCAATTAAATTAAAGTATCTTATTGAGTTGTGGAACAATCGCGAGAGCTTCAAGTTTTGCAGTAAACGAAACTTGCAATATAAATAGCACACTAGACGATGAACAAGAAGAAGAAGTCGGAGCAGCCTGAACTGCTCCGCAGCAGCAAAACTTAAAACTTCATTATGAGGAATGCTGAATGGTGGAAGAAGCGTTGGGTGATTGCATTCAGTGGAATGTAATAAGGTAATTTACTACACGTCGAATGGTAATAGTAACGGTGGTGGTGGTAGATGATGATGATGGATCATTAGCGGAATTCAGGAGTTGACTTGTAAAGGATTTGAGTGAGCAATTTTTTTTGCTATTGTAGTAAGATGATGTACCAGATTTGGTGTTTTTTTGGATGCATATTTAGTTCAAATGATGATTCATGGCAAATACCAAAATTAAAACTTGAGGATACTTTCAAGTATTATCAAATAAAATTACCAATGAACATTAGAATGTATGTTTCAATTTGAATCTGAAGAAATTCTTCAATTTGCTTTTGGACTGTTTGGTAAAATTAGTTACCCTCACCAAAATCAGTTTTTTTTATTTGGATTAAAACTAGATCTATACTGGATATCAGACAATGTTTCACATCAGAATATTTTTGATATTATTATTAATTTTGTATAATTTTTTCCTAATTCACGATCATCAATTACTCTCTGACCTTCAATTCCTCCTTTTCCCAATGTCTACCCATCAAATCATCCCTTCTTTACATAAACTCCGAAATCTCTTGGTCAGATCAGATCATCAGATCCGACTTCTTCTTCTGCCAACCTTTTATGCTGAGATTAGCTTTGATGGAGATAACCTTTGTACGGATTTAGTAGATGTCCGAACTTTTTTATGAAGATACGAATTGAGAAGTTAGAGGTAGGGGGATTTTGATGTTAAGATGTATTGACGGATTTATAGATGGACTTAGATGGAGACAGGTACATAAACTAGTATAATACTGCGTTTTCTAGTAAAAGCGTTATGAATTTTCGTAATCTTTGACGAGATCTACAGATCAAACCGTTTGTGGTAGAATTATGAAATTTAAATATGTTGTTCCTAAAAACTTAAACTTTAATTAACTTAAATAGTTGTTGAATTTTGTAACTGAAATACAACTGCTTATAATTAAAATGAAAAACTTACAAATAGAAATTCAAAAATAATGTGGTGTTAAACCATTATAAAAACGGTTTATACAAAACTAATAAATAGTCAAAAACAGTCATTTTATAACACTATAGACTGTTGGAACAAAACACTAAAAATTCCTTTACCTTGACCTTTCAAATGGCAAAAATATCGACGCAAACATGATGTCTCTACACCGTACACAAAAACACAAAGATTATCTAAAATGCCAATTATTATCGAATCTGTTTCGATGGAATCGCATTCGACGACTCCACCGTGAAAACAAGAGGAAAACAGAATGGCAATAGAGGGTAAACTGGGAAAATCTACAGGAAAACGAGGAAGGATAACGATTCTGACATTTGAGTTTACGATATTTCAATAACAACGTTTACGAAAATTGTCTTGTACGGAGATTACAGATTATGGCGGAGATCGGTAATTGGGAATTCGGAGAGAACTTGTTTCTTGTCTCATTAAAATTGTATTAAAAGATATTTGAATGTTGAGAAAAGAAGGAAATGATTGATATATACTATATATGGTTTAATCAATTTTTATGACATTATTTTTCATTCACAAAATTTATATAAAAACATATATTACTTATATCTGAAATAAGAAATAAACATTCTTTATATATCTCTAGACGAGTAATTGCAATAATCATTGTATAATCTAAAAAATTTAACTAGTGGGGTGTATGGCATAGTGCCTTAAGGCAAATTTCTGGAACTTCCCATACCGTAACGAAATGTTCGAGGAATACTGAATGTTTTCAAATAGATTATTATTAATATTGTAACATTGTCTAATATTTATAAGAATTATATAAACTGAATTGCAAAGTTGAAATTGTTTGTTTAAAGTATATTAAAGCTATAGTCAGAATTAAAAATAGAATCTGAATTATTTTCGATATACAAAAAAAAAAAAAATTATACAAAATTGTTTTTTCCAAAATCAATTATTTTATTAAAACAAGCTGAAAGTTCTTTGAATCATTTAAATTGAACGCTTAGTTCTCTCAAAAACTGCCATTTTTTGCACATTTAGCTCTGTATCTTCGAAATGGCTCACTTCGAATGAGAATGAATCACTTCTCCCAATCATTACTAATTGAATGTTTTCAGATCATTCAAATCGGATGCTCCGTTCACTCAAAAACTCGATTTCTATTTTCTGCACTCTTTGCTCCGTATCTCCGTAACGGCTGGACCTGCCTTTGCCAAAAACTAATCAGCTCTTCTCCCTGTCAATAGGAATCGAATGTTTTTTGAACCATTCAAATCGGTTGATCCGTGCGCCCGAAAACGTGACTGGAAATTTGTATCCATACATACATCCCACGCACACACACATTCATTTTTTCTGAGGTATGCCAAAATGTTCAGAAACCTTCAAAACGTCGAGAAATGTACAAATTTTCAATTTTGATTTTCGGCCCATTACAGTAACTTACCCTACGGGAAGTTAATAAATTAAAAATAGCATTAATTGGAAATTTCAAAAATTGTGAAACCTAAAGTGAAGAAAACTGCATTGATTTTAAAATCAGTAAATTCATTAAATTCACGAAATTGATTAATAGAATAAATACATTTGTAACAGTAATAAGATCAAAATTATTATTTAACATAATTGATAAATTAGATAGATGATAATTTTATTAAAATTACTTCTATATATTTTAAGCCATTATTTTATCTTGAGCACAGTCTTGTTTGCACTCCCAACACTTTTATTTTCAGCCCTGACAATAATTCTACTGTTTTATCAAACTTCTAGCTCTAATCCTACCTAAACTCAAATTATAACTTCAGCTACTAGTTTTGAATTCAACCACTTACTGTAACCAGATCTTTGTTCTACCTCCAGATCCCAGGTTTTGCTTCAAGCATCTAAATTCTGGATCTAACCTATAGATCTGGTTTCAAGCCTTTCTAGTTCTTGCTTCAAGTTACTAATTCTTGCTTCAAGCTACTAGTGCTACTAGTAGTCCATAGTTCGATCATTAGCCCATACTCTCAAATCCAACTCCAACCCCTGCTTCTACTACTAGTTCCTAGTTCATAGTTCCAGTTCTAATTCCAGTTCCAGCACATATCATGTTCACGAGCTTTAAACGTGAGCTTTCGCCATCCCGGAACTAAAGATCGAGGCGGCGATAACCGCCATTTCGGATAAATATAGTTTACGACTCCCAACATTCGCGAATGGCCGCGGTGCGGTGGAGACGCAATATGGTAATAATATCGTCGATAATATCGTTCTAGAATTTTTGATCAAACACACATAGAAGTCGAAGTGGAATTCCAATTTCCATTTTGAAGTTATTGCATTTGCATTTATGCATATATTCATATTTGTGCATTTACGGACGTATAAAAGTTGTAAAAAGGTTACGAATACGATCTGAAATTGAAGCAGAACATTTGTTGACCCATTTTGCACGTTCGAACTTATTAAATTTCGAAACGGACGAAATAGATAAATATAAACGCATATATATCGAACTGTTATTTTATAGTAGAATGAAAGAACGAAAACAACCAAAAAGTATTGTTTTCATATTGTTGATTATAACATGAATTAAAATATTATTTTTTCTCTTTCAGACGTGATCTTCTCTTGAAAAACGCAATCAGTTCTCCTCCTCAGCAAGCTCCAAAATCTTCCCAAAACGATCAACTGACCGCTCGGTGGTTGGCAGAGAGCGTAAACGCTCTCCGATCGGAGATGTTAGAACTCCAAAAGACCAGCAACGCATCTTCCATTCTAGTCATCCAGCAAAAAAATGCCTGTGAGACCAGATTGGCGGTCCTGAGAAACGATTTGGTGTCGCTGAGCGGCCAATGCCAGAAGGGAAAAAGCGAGTTAATCGAGCTCCAGGAAGTAGTAAAAGAGGCGAGAGAGGACATCAAGGAGAATCAGGTCAGTAGAGGATAGTACATTACATTCGAGATCTGTGGAAATACCAGTCGCAAATGTAAATCCAGTTCCTTCTTCCGCTCACCAGCAAAACTTTATCGTTGTCGAAACGGATTAATCACTTTCCACCGGATCTCGTAGAAAACTTTTCTCTCATCCTCCTTCCGGAGTTTCCATTGTTTTCCTCGAAGAGAAAAGTTTCGCGTGGGCACCACAGCTATTTACAATCCAAAATGAAGGGACGTGGGATTAATAATGACGAAGAGAGAAGATAGTTGATTAAGTTTAAGAGAAAATTTTATGAGACACCACTAATAAGCGATTTATAGACGTTTTTACACCATTATATCCCAATTTCCCTCTCTACTTCCACTGTGCATCCAAAGAGCAATCCAGATATTTGCATTTTGCAGCATGTTGAAATAATAACAGATTGATGTCGCAGTTTGCCCGCCAGGAATATTAATCATGCACCCACTACGAACTGCCACCCGAGCACTGGGCGACATTTTAGCTCCAGCGTTTTTATAGTCTCGGAGCTGAATGCATTTTAATTGTTTGAATTGGAAATAAATACGAATAAATTAGGAGAATGATTTTTAATGATAAGGACTTCAAAATTGAGTAAACATTTATTATATATCTTATAACTTTTCAATCGTTTGTCTGATAATAATAAAATATTGTGTTCCAATATCACAACTGCCTATAATAACTTGGTATACACCAAAAATATATTTTACCAGTATATCCTAAAAGATGTAGCGTATTTAAGCATTTGTTAATTAAATGTCATAACTTTTGAACTTTTCGTCTTATATATATTAAATATTTGATAAATTTGTATAAATTTATATAATCTGCAATATATTCTATCAAGACACTAATTCAATTGAATATAGGCAATTAATCTAATTTATTTGCAACAGTGTATTTATTTATTTTGTATCTCTTGAACAGTTTGTCCAATCTAAGTACTCTACAAAATTGGAACATCTACAAAATTTGTTTACAAAAGTATATTAGATAAACTTATAATAGTTCGGTATACTTAAAAATAGCAATCGAATATAAAATATAACCTTGGTACACTACAATATGCTACCTCTTTAAACTTGAATTGACTTATAAGAAGATTGATGCATTTATATATTTATTTGAATAGGTTATAATTTGTAATATCTAAAATTATACACATGTATATATATATATATATATATATATATATATATATATATGTGTGTGTGTGTGTGTGTGTTTAGGGAGTGTATTGTTTTATAATCGTTTCAAACATATTAATGCCTTTATTATTCCATAAATCTGGCGATAATGTGTCACCATAGTAAATAAAATTAATATTCGTCATGACAAATTTCAAATAGATTTAATTCATGACATAATTCCGTTATTAATTATATTTGCAAATAGTTTATACTGCAAAATAATTATATAATTATTTATTCATTCATTTGCTGCTCGAATTAATTTTTGTATTTATTCATTTGTCATTTATTAATTAATTTATATATATATATATATATGTAAATAAATATGGTGGTATATTTATATCGTAAGATCTATTTATAACACATGATATATATATATATATATATATATAATTAGGTTTCTTCCCCTTGTTGGGGGCGCTTAAACAAACATTTAATTTGTACGCTTATTCTCCCTAAGATATATATTTAGTTGTTATTTTATCATTTTATTCCGAAAACATTACGTTTCCTATTTATTCGTTGTATCGATTCGCCAGAAAGGAGCTTTTATGTAAATATTGTACAATTAAGTATGTTTATAGACCTATTTGTTTCAGTTCGTGTAATTTTCAAACTGTTTATCCGAAATAAAAAACATTTTGGAAATTTAGACGAAAATACATTATTTAAAATATTTTCTGATATGAAAATTCCGTATTACACTTCAAAATCGCTTTGGAAAATAGATTGAAAATACGTATTTGCTAAAATAGGTAATAACTTTAATCATAATTTTAATTGTACCCTGATTAGTGCATTTTTTGTATAAAAGTTTTTGCAACTTTTACACCGCTAGTCAAAAGTAAATATATTGTTTGAAGAATTTACACAAAATTATCTATGACATTGTCTAACATCACAAAGTCCTACAGTAACTCGGTACACTTTAAAATGGTATTGGAAGTTAGACTAATAATATACGTTTTGATACAAACATTCTTGTTGATTTCTGTCTGATTCATTTTTTTTTGTTATAACTTTTGTAACTTTGATTAAAGCAGTGATTCCCAAGGTGGTCCACAACAGGTTTTAAGAGGTCCACGTCAGCAAAAAAAAAATGGGGTCCATGAAATAAAATGGTGGTTACGGTAGTGGATCACAATACACCACGTTAATATCTTTTTAATATATTTATAATGAAAAGTTATATACAATATTTATAAATAAAATTATAAGATTTTATAAAAAGTAGACATTCGATTTGTGGTCGCAATAAGGTTGAGCTTGTAAAGAGCTTATTTTTTAGTATTGAAAGGTTGGCAAAATTTTTGCGCTTTTGAAATCTGTCGTATTTTTGGATACAAAATATAAAGGATTTGATTCAGATTTAAATAGGTGTTAAATAGTGATCCCTAAACAAATAAAAGATCATGACTGGACATCACTAGCCAAAAGATATAAGATTAAACCCATAGATAAACAAGTATAGACCTTTCAACATTGTTTCCATATATTGATAATTAAATATTTGCTTGTCGCTTTTTTTATTATTTTGTTATTATTTTAAATTTAATTAATACAATAAATGAATTTAACATGTATACCACTATACAAAAAAGTTTGATAACCTATGGTCTAAAACATATTCACAAAGTAGACCATAAGGACTCCTAGTGGTTCATGACTTTGCCTAAAAAATTAAGTAGTCCACGAATTGAAAATGAGAAATCACTCAAAAAGACCACAAAAAACAGGTTGGGAACCTATGGTCTTAAAGCTAAACTAATAAGTACAATTTGCAAATTTGTACAAAATTTACAAAATAATCTACAAAACTTATGACCATCATAAAGCTACCCGGTATGCTAAATAGTAAATACCTAAAACGCGCTTAGACCACATAGTATTTTTCAATTGAATATTTAGCACATATAGTAGGTATGATTATTACGAATTAATATGGTTTGCTGAAATCTGTATCAATTTATATATTTCAATTCCATTACATATTTTTGAAATTCAAGTTCCAAGTCCACGTCGACTTTTTATCGTTCTTGACATTTTGTCGTAGTGAAAGCTGCGTGCAAGCGAATTATTAAAAATTCGGCTCGGTTATGTAATTAATGGTATATCGTTCTTGTTCTTCGTTCAATTCGTTTTTGTTTCATCCTCGGTGTTCCGTTAATACCTGATGTCTGTCCTTTTCCAACCACCACCACCACCACATGTAGGTAATATAATATAAGCGAAATAATAATGTAATAATAAAGAAACGAAACCGCCGCCAAGAAACAGCTGCCAGGCGAGAGAGAACCAGACGCCAGAAGGATAACGAGGGCGGACGACGTGGAGGGACCAGGTGCAGGAATATATATGTATATATATATATATATATATATATATATATATATATGTGTGTGTGTGTGTATATATATATATATATATATATATGTGTGTGTGTATATATATATATATATATATATATATGTGTGTGTGTGTATATATATATATATATATATATATTATGAGTATACCGAGTTGCTATATGGTTCATTGTGTTAGACAATATCGTATGAAAGTTAATTTTGTACAAATTCGTCAAACACTGTGAAATTGAAAATATGAGATCGATAAAATGTAAGAGGCCATCTTAACCCGCCTTAGGAACTTTATATTTGGCAAGTTTTATAATTTATAACGTATAAATCCATATAAGCATAACATAATATACCTTTATCATTTTCAGATTATAATTTTATTATCAAGTACTATTCGAAAACCCAGGTCAATCCGGACAAAAGATCTAAACCCAGGGCAAATATAGCTGTTAGAAAAATTAAATCCCAAGGTTAAAATTCAGGCCAAACCTGGACGATTACTTTACCTAAGTTCTTTTTTTAAATAGCAATCAGAATACAGTACAATTCTATGAGCTTTTTGGCTTATATCATTTGCACACATATAAATTATTTTGATAAATATTATATCCATAGTTGGAGAATCACTTCCATAAGTGAAATCACAATCACATCATAAGTTCATATATGCAAAGTTATGGTACTGTTAAAGGTCGTCAATATTATCATTGGGCAGCTTTTTCTTCAGTATTCTTGAAGTTAGTGTCTCAAGAAGCTGAGTGACTATAGAATTTGAATAATGTTCTAATTTTTGAAAATGACACAGTTTAAATATTTTGACACTATTTATTTTTATAACTCTGTTTATAAATTCAATGTTAAGATCGTCGTGTAAGGACTTATTGCTTACGAACCATGGATCATCAGTAATCTGTCTTAATATTTTCGACTGGGCACGTTGCATTAGCACAATGTTTAATTTGCTCGCACAGCTCCACTGTTCTATGCCATAAGTCCATATTGGTTTTATTACCACCTTGTAAATTAGTAATTTATTGTCAATAGATATTATTGGCATGCGTCCCTGACGTTAATATAGTTATCAGTGGTTCGAATTTTTAGAGTTTTTAATTATGTGCGAATATGATCCTTCCACGTCAGTCTGCAATCTAGATGCATACCTAGGTATTTCACACAATCATTATTTGAAACTGCTTGGCCATACAAATACACTCCTGGGATTTAGAAACTTCTAAAATCATAACAAAATTCTGACACTGTCTATAATTCCAAATATTGATGATTTTTTCTAACTAAACTATCATAAACCTTATCTTATACAAAGCTTCATCAAAATATTCAAAAAATTTCAACAACTAACTACGAAAATACGATCGGAGCAGTTTTGTCAGAAGCTAATTAGCATGATACCCAAATT